CACTTTTCTTCCTGGTTGTATAGTGCTACTCAATGATTGCACCATCCTAAAATTCCACGCATGCGCAGATTCCTTATAGCCATGAACCTAGGAATGCAAATTCTGTGCTATTGCAGTCTGCCAGAGGAGGGTCATTGATGTGAGCAATATGGTCGGGCTCGATGTTCGAGTCGAACATGAGTTCGACTCGAACATCGCTAGTTCGTGTGGTCGCCGAACACACGAACTACAAGGGCGTTCGGCGGTCTGGTCGACCACTGAACACCCCACAAGGCAATGCGCCTTATGAAGCCCTAATTGGCTAAAGGCTTGCACCTGACCACAGTTGTTTGGCCTGGTGAGCACCCCCCCCTCCCTGCCATACCAGGCCACATGCCTTCACCACTGGGAGGGTGCTTTCCCAGGGTCGCCCCTGGAAAAGCACCTTGTCCCCGTGCTGATAGAGACAAGGGCCTCTTCCCCACAAACATTGGGGCGTTGGTTGTGGGGGTGTGGGCACCCAGATGCAGCCCCCCCTCTTGTGAATGAGTAAGGGGGACTTGTACCCCTACCCATTCACTAAGGGGTTGGAATAAATTGTAAATAAAAAGACTAGACTTTTGAAAAAATCCTTTATTTGAAAAAAAAAAAAAAAAACTAAGGATCTTTGACAAGTCCTTTAATAAAAAAAAATTAATCCTAAGGTCAATCAAGACGTGCAGCGTTGTCCATGACGAAGACTCAACGAAATAAAAAAAAAGGAAGAAATAGAAATAATTTTTTGAAAACCTAACGCCCGCCGACCTGTCCACTCGCAACGAATTCCTGCCGCAGAATGGCATTCTGATAGATGCCGGCAAAATATAAACAATTGGGCGGAGCTAGCGGTGGCATCACAGCTAGCTCCACCCAGCTGTTTACATTTGTCTGGCACCTGACAGGACTTAGCTGTGAGCCATGATTGGGCAAAGTCATCATTACTTTTCCCAATCATGGCTCTTACATTGCACTTTGCCGTGATTGGGCAAAGTCTTGCACCTGACCTGTGGTCATGTGCATTGCTTTACCCAATTAGGGAACGCCGAACGCCCTGATAGTTCGTGTGTTTGCCAAACACACAAACTACCGATGTTCGAGTGGAACTGTTGTATGACTGGAACATCGAGACCATCCCTACTGCTGAGGGAGTTGCTCACTGAGGACCCGCTCCGCCAGCCGCTACCAAGGAGAAGGTGCTGCAGAAGTTCTCGCCCTGCAGATGAGGCTCGAACTACAGATCAGTCCAGTGAGTGACAGTTCCCTTATTGGAGAACATTTTGGGAAAATTGGGTGTCATCTGTCATTATGATTATTATAAGAGGGGCTAGAGTATTGCTGAGATTTGTAGTCCGCTATAGCTGATGGTATTCTGCATTACTGTATAATGAACTGCTGAGATCTGTATTCCTTTATAGCTGATGATATTATTCTGCATTGCTGTTTAATGTGTTGCTGGAATTTGTAGTCATCTTTAGCTGGTGATATTCTGCATTGCTGTATAATGTATTGCTGAGATTTGTAGTCCTCTATAGCTGGTGGTATTCTGCATTGCTGTATAATGTATTGCTGAGATTCCCTGTCAGTGGCAGAACTACCAGGGTCACAGCGGTTGCAGCTGCATCTGGGCCTTGGTGCTCCACCACTGTCCTAAAATCATTAGTCTGTATTTAGAAAAACTGCCACATGACACAAAAAAAATGTATTGGCAATTGGTATCTGCGAGTACCTGAGGAAAAGTATCAGTACTCATACTTGGTCTGGAAAAACTCATCAGTACTCATACTCGGTCGGTGCATCCTTAGTTTGTATAATCTAATATATAGGACAGGAAAAAAATCAATGCTGTTTGTGGATCAAGATTCTGCTGTGCATTTGTGTGGGCCTGCGTTTGTGCCCAATACATTTTTAAAGCATGAGCAATTACAAACTGTTATCAGTTTTAATGGGAGAGCTAACAGTCCACGCCGTATGGGGGCACAATACTTGCTTTGCTTTGGAAGCTGACAACCCATGTTATGCCACTGGTACCTCATATTTTGTAGTCGGGAAATCCCCAAAACACATTATGCGTCTATGCACCAACCTCTAACTGGACATTGCAATGCAATGCAGTTTGAAGTGTTTATAATGGAAGTGAGAGCCTCACTGCTGTAATAAAGTTCTACAACTCATGTGCCAAATCACAAAGCGTGCAGCTAAGTAGAGGATCAATTGAGTGAAACAACTGCAATAAAAAAGAATCTAGAATGCAGTAAAGAAAATGGTTGTGTGTAAAATGTCAGCATCGTTCTAGCAATGAGGCATCTGATTAACAGCATGTAACTCCGTAACTGTGTAATGTGGCTTTTATAGCCTCTAGAAAACAATCACTTTTCACGTAGGAGAATCTGTGCTCTCATTAGAAACAAGGCCAAGCAAAGGCAAGCCAGCTTTCTGTGCTGGAGTTTAGAACTTAGCTGGAATTTTTAATTTGAAATATGCATTCCAAATGTTTCAGCTTCTTTTCTGCGGATAATTATCGCACAGCAATGGCCCCTTCCAATGGTGTACATAAAGTAGCTGCCTACTAAAAGTGTACGTAATCGTTAAAATGCATTTTAAATGCCTTACCCTATACATTTTCAAGTGAGCCCAATCTTTTTTTTTTGTGCGCCCTGCATTTTTCCTTTTTTAACCAAATGATCTTGCCAGTTTTAAATACCTTGAGTAATTCAGGGCTGACAACACTGCTAGACTGCAGCAGAGCTGTCACCCTATCCCCACAGCATAAGCACGACAGCACCAAGGCATTGCCAGCATATAGGGAGCACTGACACCGAAGGGCTTTGTCCAGGAATTGAGAAGGACATTATATAGAGACACCCTAGTATACATACGAACAGCCAATGGGTATCTATTCTACGCTAGAGGTGAACAGAGCCAAATTGTTCATGTGGCCACTTGAAAACTAATACTCTCGCGACAAACTCCCACTGCAGAATGGCATTCTGACAGATGCCGGCAAAATATAAACAATTGGGTGGCACCTTAAATCTGTTTAAAAATCACATCATAAAAATATTTAAGACTAAAATTAAAGCTGAACTCTGAGCACAAAACCACAGTTATTGCCTTGTAAATGTAGCAGTGACATCATCACTTCGTAACACATAGTGTGTGCAGAGAGCAGAGTTGTAGGAGAGGCCCGGCAGTTCACACCCACTACAGGTTGTCTGCAGAAAACTACAGGAGGGGTAGATACAAGACCAGCCACCCTGCACAAGGAGAGAGAGCAGCAGTCATTGGTCTTTAGTACAGGAAGATCCTCTACAGAGGAAAGTTTCACACTTTCCTCTGTAGAGGATCTTACTGTCGAGATATGGAAAAACTACACAAAGTACACCACCAAGATTACTTTTTTTAAGACACTATCTGCTCATCCTGGAGTTTTATGTTTTTTCATTGCTATAATACTTACTCCCAGATTCAATAACAGTTCATGAAATTATATTAGAAGAGCCACGTGTGCAAACACTGATGTTCAATAACAAATTACTCAATCATTACTGAATACTGAAGCACAAAGTTATCTGTTGTTTGGTGGGCTGCTAAAGTTTTCTGTATACAGCATATCACCATGAACATCCTCTGCTTTAGGAGTTTCATCACCCATATAGTGATGGATAACAGTAGAGTCTACATCAATTTCTACAGAAATACACAGGAATGGATCTGTAATGAAATTTGCTAAAGTAATTGAAATATAATAGTTTGCCTGAAGGTGATGGTTTTTTTTTCTTATCAAAACATGAGTTTCACCTAAACACTTTGTTTTGGTTAATGCCATTGTTGATCATCATAGTAGTGAGATGACAAGAACTCAATTTGTCCATGGTGGTGGACAGATGCATGGCAGCCAACAACTCTCAGGGGTAACATTGATTGGGAATACTACTGATCTCCCTTGAGACTAAAAGGCCTATTTGGCAGCAACAGATCAATTGACATAGTGATCTATTTGCACTATTATTGGCAAACAATAGATCACTATAACAGTGATCTGTTCACACAGTGGGAGGCAGAACAGGGCTGGATCTGCTCTGCCCTGCTTAAATATGCTCACTGGAGCTAAAAGGGAAACCCAGTACCTTCAGAGATCATGTAGCTGCAATGTATCATGTAATCAAAATGTGGAAGAATTGTATTTACATTGTGCAACAGAGAGCTTTGGACACAAGATAGCATACATTCAAACTTTCTGAGATGAGAAAGAGGGATGCCTTCCAGCACTATATATTTAAACAATAGCCCATTGGGTAAACCCAAAATATTTTTTTTTTTTACCATTACTTTTCGTTTATTCTGGCCTTTTGAAATAGCAAACAAGGTATTTAAGAGAAAAGATACATGTTTTGGTGGAGAATTACAGTTTTAGTCGTTAAATAGAAAATGTTCATAGATATATGTACATCAGACCAAAAAGAGAGACAACTGAGGATAAAAGAGGGACAAAAGGATTCGTTTTTAAATCAGGAACAATCAGGGTCAGTTGGGAGGTATGGGATAGGAAGTTCAGAAGCTGATGGACTCAACTCTTTGACTGGACCCCTGCTTTCACTGACAGCCAGCAGTTCCATTAGTGCCACCACCATTTTAAAACTCTGCTGTAGCTGACAACCACTTGCTGGGTCCACTGTCCTGGTGAGACCTGGGCAAAATGCCATTTTTACTCCTATAATTAAATGGTTCTGGATATACAACTTCATTATTATGTTAACACCAATAAAGTGTTATGTGTATATGTTTCATTTTGAGATTACGTCTTTTTGTTTGCTTCATTTAAACAGATGTTGTACATCTTAATTCTAAAAACACCACGAGAGGATTAAGCTGCAAATCTCCAAACTGCACTTAGTAATGAGTATTCCAGTTGTGACTATGATTTCAGCAGTAATGAAAAACACATGCAAATGCTTCTATAAGGATAAATAATTGTCACATACCTGCAAGCCTTCAATGGCGAGTCTGAGAATTGACGGGGTGAGCTTGGATGCTTGCTTGAAGGAAAAATTGCTCCAGTCTATGATTAGAATAAATCCATTTATCTGAAGCGCGGGATCTTCAATAAGAACCTCTAGTGAGAGGAGAATGCCACGTAAGATGTCCACAAAGGAGTTCCTTGAACAAAATGAATTGTACTTGGTTTAAAAAGTGTCCTTTGTAGAAAAGAATGAAATAAATTTCAGACGTTTTTTATCAAAGAAAACCTTAACAATAGAATGTGATGCTGCAAACACGAAATAAAAAAATGAACCAAGTGTAAACAAAAACTTCTAGAGTCCATGAGGATACTTCATGCTAATATCCATACACCCAATAATGGGGACTCAGACAGCTACAACCTTACTATTAGGCTTTCTTAATATAGATACATTATACATGTTTCAGTTCATATTATATATTGTTCTTTATTAATACATCAAAAAGCAATAAATATCTAACCAAGGTATATAAGAATGTTGTACAATTAGCTGGATTTGGGGAATGGTAGTAATTTAAAATTTATTCTGAACATGAGAACAAAAGAGATAATACTTTCCTTCAAAAAGGTTCACATGTTTGCAGTATAGCATAAGCTAAGTCACTTCCAAATTTAATACTACCAAAAACTAAAGGAGAAATCCAGTTTTTTCAAGTGTGTATCCCATCCCCTTGAAGATCGACAGGCTTTCTCTATGCTGACTCATCCCATTTGTGGGGATGTAAAAGTAAAATAAAAACTGCAGCAATTTTCTGAGGATTTCAGGGCTTCAGGCCATGTGGCCAGACAGGCTGCAAAGAGAGTTATTAGGTAAGTATACCCTAATATAAATGTGCTGGAGAAAGGGGTAGAAAAGAATAACTGCACTGAAAATTAGATTATTAGTTTAAAGTGTATGTTCGGCCGAGTTAATACTCCTGCCAGGTTTTTTACCTGGGGCTTCATAAGAAAAATTTACTCTCACTTCCTCTCTTGCTGACATTTTACTAGGCAGGAAGTAAGGTGAAACCCTTCAACAGCATCACAGACAGAAATGCAAATGCTTGAACTAAACTGCACATAAGCATTGCTTGTGAAGGGCGACTTGTAAGGTCTGTGTAAGATACCATGTTATCATGCAAATGTATGCCTCTTATTTATTGTGTTTTAGCTATAAAAAGTGAATAACTTCCGAGTCTCATTCATTCAGAAACTCAACCACTCCCTCTGGCTATTAAGTAAAACCAAAATATATGTTTAAACATTAATCATTTCCTGCTGTTATTGGGCAACGCATACCACCTATATTGGGCGTTTTCTCAGATTTATATCACAACTGTAAAGCTTTCTATTCCTTGCATGAATCTTTTGATGTTAAGGTTGCAGTTACAAAAATATTTTTTCTGATGTTGGTTATGTCTCAGTAAATCAGACACTCACACACAATAACATCACATACAACAAAAGTACAGCCACAAATTATATACACATACAGTATATGGCCAATTAATTATTTTAATATGTAGCTTCTGTTTTTGGTTTACCAATGCTGACCATGTTCTGTGTTTTTTTTAACCAGCATCAAGAAGGTGCTGATTTTTCATAATCAGCAAGTCACTGCTACTGTTCCCCAATGTGATACAAAGAGTCAGCAGTCTCCATGTATTGATGATAGCTTTTTTTTACACCTTCTTTACTATTTACAATCTTCCAGTTTATGATTAAACCATGCAGCATCCAATCTCCAAGAAAATGGTGCTAGCTTAAACCATGTTTTCTTCTGAAACTTCAAATATTACCATATCTGTAAAAATTCAGTCAAGGCAACTGGACTTGCTGTATTTGTTTTTTTTTTCTTAAAGACGTTTCACTAGACATCTGACCAGCTTTCTCAATTCAGAAAGCTGGTCGGATGTCCAGTGAAACGTCTTCAAGAAAAAAATTAAATACAGCAAGACCAGTTGCCTTGACTGATTTTTTACATATATACCATGACCTGGATGAATGAGATCCTTCACAGACATACTTCAAATATTTCAGGAGCCCTCCCTGGGGATTTGAATATCTAATAGGCTTCAGCATGGATCGGTGGATCAACAAGAAGATCAAATGATTTGCTTAGAATCATTTGCTAGTGGGCTGGGGGCCTCAGCGTGCCTGATTTTAAACAGTATTACAAAGCAGCTCAATTAGTTAAACAGACATTTGAGGCAGAAAACTATTTGGCCCATCTCCTTTTCAATCAGTTTGAGTTTCTAGCTGAAGTGCTCTTACTTTAAGTGAAACTAAAAGTGCACTAAATCTAAGCAATCATAACATGAGAGTGAAAAGGAGCTGAATGGAAGCTCCCAATGCTTTGAAGGTGGTCCGGAGGAGGATTTAAAAGAGGAATGTAAAAATGAAAGGACTAAAAAAGAGCAAACGTCCATCATGAAGAGCGATGCACAAAATTAACCAACATTTATGGAAGGTTTTCACCTCGTACTTATTAGTTCACAACTGAAGTGAAACCTGCAGATACACAATATCCTGGGGCTCTCTTTAATGCAGAATGATGGCAATTATTTTGTATCACATTATAAGACAATAAAAATAAAAAAAGTAATACAAAATAATAGTTAGAAAAAATAAAAAGGTGATTAACAAGTAAAAAATAATAAGAAAAAATCTATAAAAAACCATGTTATGGAGCTGAGGGAAAGGAAGGTGTTCTGTAGTCATGACTCAGATCCTGTCCTAGGGTGACAACACTGATCATCCATGGATACAGTTCAGTGAGTTTAGCGTTGTCACCTTAGGTTTGAAAATATGTTACTGGCAGGACGACCAGGTAAAAATGAAGGAAAAAATGCCTGACAATAAACTAACGGAGCCACCACATCGAAGGACTGGTAAGCTGCAATCTATCACATTTTTGTCCTTGGGTTTAGATGCATCATAAATACTTAAAAGACGTGTGTTCATTTATTTCAACCATTAAAGGAAATGTAGTGAAGAGTGGGGCAAATCCTAGGTGGAATGGATTTTAAGACATTTATTCAACCCTAAAACTGGGAATGCCTGTGATTATATCTTGAGATGTGTATGTACACATAACAATGGCAACCCCAATGAGAAAATATACGGCAAGTGGATGAAGTTAAGAAATGGGAATGTAAGTGGATACAACAGAGAGTACAGGCAAGTAAATATTCATTTCAAACACAGCATACTGTATGTGAAGCACAATGCATGGGTCTCACATGTTGAGAATAGACTGATATTCATCATGCCACACTAGAGTTTCAGATGTAATATGAGGTTGCCATAGAGATCTCTGTGCATATTGGCTTCAAGGTGCTCACATGGCTCTGCAGATAACATTATCATTGCTCAAGGCTGAATTCCTGATGTAAGGGATACAAGGTCAACACTGAAATAATTATCTGTCTAATCAGACTTTGAATGATTAACGCTATTCTTTGCTTAACCATATATATATTACGTTTGACCTAAATAAAGTCTCATGAAAATATTGAAAAAATGCAAAAGGAAAAACTGTAAAATCCCTTTGGACAAAAGGTTTTATCTTTGCTTTTTCCTCCTGAAATATCAGCCCTGAGGTCAACTAGCTGAGGAGATGACAAGAATCAAATACTCTGATACAGATAAGATGTGCAGTAGAAGGCTATGGACTCACTGTTTTTTTCTGATACCCTAGGCGTAAAGGGTGCGCACAACAAGGGAACATGGCTGAAAATAAGACTTGCACATTGTCAAAACTAGCAAAATAGACATCCAGGTCATAATATAAAGTAATTACTTTAAAAGCCAAAATCACACATTACCAAATGTGCAGTCTTTAGTGGAAGGACAAATGTAGAGACAATGATGAGAGTATTTCATATTGCTTTAGAAGTGGTCTTGAATCAGCAGTCACACGTTTACAGTGCATTTGCTGGAAAATAAACTTTTACAGAAGAGTACTAGAAAGAAATGGATCATTTTAAACCTCGAAATCTTTTGAAACTCTCTGTAAACCTTGAGGAAAACTGAAGGAGATGGGAACAAAAACTGGAGCCATTCCTGGTTGCAGATGGTGCTTGTAAATACCCAGAGGTTCACAAAAAGATTTGAGTTGTATAACGCTATCGATATAATATATGGCAATCCCATATCATGAGAGAAGTGTTACTTCCATTCAAGCACCTTTGCAACTCAGAGAAAATGTATTTTTTACAAGATAACACGTTTTCTTACTGGGTTAAAGGAGAACTATGAGGTGAGTGCTTTTCACTCACCTCATAGTTCTAGCCGACCTGTGACAATGAGACTGTCACAGGTCGGCTCAGTAGATCGGGAAGTGAGCGAAAACATACCGGCGTTCGCTCACTTCTCGGGGGAGGGGCTGGATTCCCCCCTCCCCGCTCCGATCCGCCAGCGCTGACTGACGGAACGGAGGGGGGGAGGGGGCGGGTATAGCTGGCTATGCCTCTAGATAGGCAGAGCCAGCTGTCACTCACGCAGCTGGGCGGATCCAGACATAATTGTCGGGATCCGCTTCAGCTGCGGCGTCTCAGTATACCGCGAGCAGTAGCTTGCGGTATACTGAGCTTAGGGTGACGGGAGGACGCTAGTTTGTGTCCTCCCGTTACCCTAAGGAGAACTATGGGGAAAAGCCTTAACCCCATAGTTCTCCTTTAAAGTTGAACACTGGATTTGGAAACACTGATGATCTTATATGTAGAAGTAACATTTTGTTCAGTTTTATCAATCATGGTTTAAAAGCAAAATAACTAGCTGATCCTAAACTCATATTAGACAACACTGCATTAGTCTGCAGAATTTCAGAGACAACTAAAATGGAAGATGAAGCAATGAGTCCTGGACCAACTGCCAAAAGACACATATGCTGCCCTCAGAAAGAACACTTTTCGATTCCCACCCAGCACTGAAATTTCACCTTTGAAGAACCTTATCTTGTAATATATAATTGTATGTCGTAAACTATGTGTTACAGAGCAAATATGCAATATATCATACGCATTTAGCCACGATATCTAATATGGAAAAGAGCTTCACATTTATGATTGTTTTTTTAAGTACTCAGAGTCTCTGGGCACCTTTCCTACATGAGGGTATAGATAAGATGGAGCCACAAAGGATGCTATGAATGTTA